AAATAAAGTAAGAGAAACAAATCAGTGGCATGAGAAGAGGAAAGAAAAAGGAAAAAATTGTTGGTTCAGGTGGAGAAGCGGTATATATATATATATATATATATATATATATATATATATACAGTGTAAGTGTAACCCGGGTTTAAGAGAATTGTCGGGACCAGAGAAGTCTATTTTATAACTGGTTTCTCTTATATCCGGGTTTGGTCTATTTTATATACATTAAAACAGGCTGAACAATAAAAAAATTTGGGACCAGAGAAAATCTCTCAATTATATCCGGGTTTCTCTTATATCCGGGTCTCTTATACCTGGTTTTATACTTTTTGTATATATATATATATATATATATATATATATATATATATATATATGTGTGTGTGTGTGTGTGTGTGTGTGTGTGTGTTTTGAACAATAAAAATATTGAGAAATTAAAAAATTTAAGTTTTCAGGCACACTGCGTTACTTTGGTGTTTATTATTTCAATTAGATTCCTCGAATAGTTTCGGTCACCATGGCCATCATCAGGAGAAAAAAGAATCCTGCCTCATGGTAGCAGTGAATGACAAGAATGAATGACTTTCTGAAGAAAATGAACTTTATCTGTAGTTTTCATATCTTTTTGTTCGTTAATTTTGATATATATATATATATATATATATATATATATATATATATATATATATATATATATATGTGTGTGTGTGTGTGTGTGTGTGTGCGTGTGCAGGTATGTAGAAAAATAGTAAAGAACACGTTAGGTAAATAATCCGGAGTATTTTTGTTTTTATTTTTAAAAAACAGTGCTCCATACTGAAGTGGAGCTTAAATTATATTTTTCTTCATATTTTTATATTATTATATTCATCATATATTAAATCATATTTTTTAAAAAGTAATTATTTATATATACATATATATATATATATATATATATATGTGTGTGTGTGTGAAAGCTTTTACCCTGGGTTGTTTCTTATTAAATTATGTTTAATAAGTTTAAGGTTTGTATTCACGTCATTCGGTGATGGGTCGTAAGTGTAAGGATTTGCATTTAAGTCGTTTACTTTGGTATTTTATTTATTCTATTATTTAATTGTATTTTCCATTATTAAATTTGCTATTAAATCTTTGTGTGCATATATTCGTTCTTACTATTTATTAACTTATTTATATATTTTTCTTATATAATAACAGAATTTGCTTACGCTTACCAAATCCCGTCTACCAGTCATAGGATATCTGTTAATAAATTCAATAACTTCATCTTGCCACTAACATGTGGATCGATGCGAAACGCTGACCAAGAAGAGAAGTCATTGATAATTTTCTTCATCTGTTCACTATATATATATATATTAAAGTTTTATGTTTAACGTTCTTTTTTATAGATACAAGTATTTAATTTTCGTCCTTTGACAGGATTCGAACCTGCATCCTATACGGAACCGTCATTTACGCTGACGCAAAGGAGCGTTCGGTAGGCAAGGTTGAATTTACTGCTTATAAACTTCAATCTTCCATGAATCTCGTACATTCATAACTGCTCTGGCGTATCAAATGTAAACAAATGACGTCATATATTAAGAAATGGACAAAGTCCGACAATTTATTTATTAAAGACATTTTTATGTTTAACGTTCTTTTTTATAGATACAAGGACGAATATTTTCTATGAAAATTTCTCGGACATTCAGGCCGGTAAATGTTATTTAATACTGTTTATTATAAACAGAGCATTTACTTAAATACTTGTCCATTTCTTAATATATATATATATATATATATATATATATATATATATATATATATATATATGATTCATTGAACAAGTCTGACAAAATGGAGCAGCATCCTCTTGTCAAGACGACTGACCAGAGCTCAATACTGACATTTAATTGTACCATACTTTAGACGTCATATATTTATTGAAAACACGAACGTCATGTATACCTTCAATCGTAAAGAGCTTTCAACTTCATTTAAGTAAATCCATTAGAAAAACTAAAATCAACCACACTAACTACAACCATATTACAACTCCAAAGAAAAATAAATAATTCCTGACTTAAAGTTACGCTTCTTTTCAAAGCAAATACCAAACATTTCCTTTTGTATACTTTCAGTGGTACGATGAAAAAATCATGAAGAATAAATAAAAAGAAACTGATTAAAACAAACAAGCTCAAGGTCATGGCTATAAATAATTTGAAAATACATGTAAATCTGGCACAAGGCTAATTGAAAAAGAAAAAAAAGTTAAACTTAATCTAGTTGAAACATTCACTCAAAACTTTCTATACATTACCATTCGTGAGATCCCAAAGGTAATTACATAGCCTAATTGCATCAAAACTGAATCAATCGTATTGAAAGAATTCTCAGAATAAATGGAAACTATTGTAGAGGAATAATCATGGGTATGGATACAGGAGAGACAAAGCCAAAAAGAAAAACACTAAATGTCACCTTCGTAGAGATAACAATAACAATATGAAGTGCATAGGAAATTAATACAGAAAGTCAAAAGAGACGATTGAGCAGGAACAGTCGTATACCGGGAAGTGTGCAAACAATTTAAAGTACAAACCAAGGGTAGTTATAGGAAATTAAAGGATGAAATACCCTAATAAAAGTATGGATCTGATAGTCATAATCGATGAAGAGAGTACCCGCTATGTATATGTGATTGTGTCAGCTGGCTATGTAGTGAAATCGAATTGCCTAATTCAAGGACCAAGATTACTTCATGAGGTGGGTGATATGAATGTAATAATAGGATGTAGGAAGAACAAAAAAAATGGAGGAAAAATCTGAGGTTGAGGAGAAAAAAATGTGCAATAACCGATGAATTGAAATAATTAGAAAAACAGATGGAAAAAAGTAGGCATAGTTGTAAAGGCGTTAGATGAGAGAAAGAAAAGGAGAGGAAGTAGGAGAGAAAGGAGAGAAGAGAATGGGAAGGAGAGGAGAGGAAGGAAAGAAAAGGGAAAGAGAGAAAGGAAAGTAGAGAAAGGAGAGAATGGAAAGAAAAGGAAAGAAAAGGAAAGAAAGGAAGGAACAAAAGGAATGGAAAGGAGAGAAAGGAAAAGAAAGGAAGGGAGAGAAAGGAAAGGAGAGCAGAGAAAGGAAAGGAGAGGAGAGAAAGGAAAGAAGGGGAGAGAAAGGAAAGAAGAGGAGAGAAAGGAAGGGAAAGGGGAGAAAGGAAAGGAGGGGAGAGAAATAAAAGTATAGAAAGAAAAGGAGAGAAAGGGAAGGAGATAAAGGAAAGGAAAGGCGAGAAAGGAAAGGCGGGGAGAGAAAGGAAAAAGGAAATGAGAAGAGAGAAAGGGGAAGGGAGGAAAAGGAAGGAAAGGAAAGAAAGGGAGAGAAAGGAAAGGAGGGAGGAAGGGTAGAAAGAAAGGAAAGGAGAGGAGAGAAAGGAAAAGAGGGAAAGGAAGGGAAAGGAGAGAAAGGAAAGGAGAGGAGAGAAATAAAAGGATAGAAAGAAAAGGAGAGGAAGGGAGGAGATAAAGGAAATGAAAGGAGAGAAAGGAAAGGCGGGGAGAGAAAGGAAAGAAAGGAAAGAAAAAGAGAGACAGGAAGGGAGGGAAAGGAAGGGAAAGGAGAGAAAGGAAAGGAAAGGAGAGAAAGGAAAGGAGAGGAGAGAAAGGAAAAGAGGGAAAGGAAGGGAAAAAGAGAAAGGAAAGGAGAGGATAAAAATAAAAGGATAGAAAGAAAAGGAGAGAAAGGAGAGGAGATAAAAGAAATGAAAGGAGAGAAAGGATAGAAAGGAAAGAAAGGAAATGAGAAGAGAGAAAGGAAGGGAGGGAAAGGAAGGGAAAGGAGAGAAAGGAAATGAAAGGAGAGAAAGGAAAGGAGAGTAGAGAAAGGAAAGGAGAGGAGAGAAAGGAAAAGAGGGAAAGGAAGGGAAAGGAGAGAAAGGAAAGGAGAGGAGAGAAATAAAAGGATAGAAAGAAAAGGAGAGGAGATAAAGGAAATGAAAGGAGAGAAAGGAAAGGCAGGGAGAGAAAGGAAAGAAAGGGAAAAGAGAGAGATAAAGGAAGAAAGGAGAGGGAAAAGGGAAGAAAGGAAGGAGAGAAAGGAAAGGAAAGGAGAAAAAGGAAAGGAGAGGAGAGAAAGGAAAAAAGGGAAAGGAAGGGAAAGGAGAGGAGAGAAAGGAAAGTAGATACATAGTCCATCAATCAAACACACATACTTTGATATTTTGACTGATTGCCTTCAAGTAAGAAAATAATGTAGGAAAGCAATAATTTTTTGCCCCATCTCTGAACTTAGAAAGTTAATCCCTGAACAAGACACCTAAAAATGGAGAGTAGAATAAAAGGAAAACTCCCGCCTTCTGCCAATATCTCTTCGCAACAGGAAGTTCAAAATGAAAAGAAAGATGGTGGAAGACTTACAAGAATTAAAAAACACAAAAGAAATACGGATGAAACATTAAGTATAGATTAGAAATAATACGTGAGATGAAAATAAAAATGCTCAGTACATTAAAGGGTGAAAACCCCTGTTGGGACTGACAGCCATCTTCGCAGCCATCTTGTTTTAGAGATTTTTCTCTCCTCCCATTTTACACTCGAGTTGTACACCCAGACACATATTCCGCAGATATTAATTTACTTTCTTTTATTTCTTGTATAGTAGTAAATATATTTCATTCAGATATTTATTTTTCTTCATTTCTATTTGCTGTCTATTTATTTTATTTCTTCAAACAGTGTCTTAACTTTAATCACCTCTTACAGAGTTTGCTAATCTATATCTGTCTGTTGATATATCTATCTATGGGTTTTAAATTCTAGTTAGATTTCTTTTCCGTTTTTTATATTTTGTCCCATTAATTCTTCTAATTTATTTGAGACTCGTCCTGCACGAGTCCATAAACAGGTGTGAATATATATATATATATATATATATATAAATATATATATGTATATGTATTTATATGTATGTGTGTGTGCGCATATAAAAGTGTATAAGAAAGGAAAAAAGCAAAATTAGAGAGAGAGAGAGAGAGAAAGAATTATGGTATAACTGAAAAAAAGAGTAAAAGAAAATAAATAGAGTAAAAGAAAATAAAAAAGAGCAAAAGAAAATAAATCGACAAAATATTCGAAGCAATCATAAAGAGTCTTTCTGTGTGTGTGTATATATATATATATATATATATATATATATATATATATATATATATTGAGGCAAATCGATGACTGAGTTCGGGGTGGTCTGGAAAGCTTTTGAGTACCTCTTGCCATAAGTAAACCGATAGAAAGGCGACAACTAAACTCGAAAATGTGTGTGTGTGTGTGTGTGTGTGTGTGTGAGAGAGAGGACGGGGAGTCGAGAAAGAGAGAGAGAGGAGTCGCAAGAGAGAGAGAGAGAAAGGAGTCGAGAGAGAGAGAGTGAGAGAGAAGGGAGTCGAGAGAGAGGAGTCGCAAGAGAGAGAGGAGTCGCAAGAGAGAGAGAAAGGAGTCGAGAGAGAGAGAGAGAACGCGTGAGAGAAAATAGTCAACAGAGAGAGAAAGAAAGTGTGAGAGAGAGGTTGTGAAAGAGAGAGACGAAGTGTGAGAAGGAGAGGAAGTTAGAGGAAGTGAAAGAGAGAAAAAAGGAGTGAGAGAGAGAAAGGAGAGAGAGATGGTGGCGAGAGAGAAAGGGAGCAAGAGAGAGAAAAAGAAAGGAGTCGAGAGAGAGAGAGAGAGAGGAAGTTCGAGAGAAAAAGTGAGAGAGAGGACGTGAAAAAGAAAGAAAGGAAGTGAAAGAAAGTGTGGATGTGAAAGAGAGAGAAAGGGAGTGAAAGCGAGAAAGGGAGCGAGAGAGAGAGAGAGAGGAAGTGAAAGTGAGTGAGAGAGAGAGAGAGAGAGAGAGAGAGGTGTCCAAAGCGAATAGAACTTATTGTGAGAGTACGGCTTTATATAAACGTAGAAAAAAATATAAGTAAAATATGTAATACCATTCAAACGTAAGAGGAAGTCCAATATTGAATTATGGATGCCCAAAATGGATATAAAAAAAACAAAAAACAACACCCTCAAAGTGTATAAAAAGAAAACTCAATTCAAACGACGAGATTTAGGAGAAAATAGAAAATAAAAAAAAGGAAAACGGAAATGTTAATATTGAAGGAAATTAGTTTAATGTGTGACATTAGGTTCAGACGTAACTTGGCATTACGGTGTAAGGGAAATAAAGCAAGAGTGGAAAGAAAACGACAGAAGAATGGTGACAGAAGAAGAGAGGTAGAAAGAAAAGAGAATGTACACGTTGTTTACACTGTGTATAATTCCTGTTTCTCTTTGTATACGTTTATATATTTAGTTTGGAAAAAACTGCGTTAGGTTTCGTCTTCAGATCAACAGACACATTCGGACAAATATGCAGATTTAGACACGATAATATAATAATGTTCAGTACTTTGTAATGCTTCTCTTTTTCACAAAATGTAGAAATTCTGGGAGAACGCTAAAAATTCAAAGTTCTAAAATCCCGGCTTTCTAGCTGTAACCCCCCACCCCCGCAGAAAGCACCATTTCTAAGGTTTAAAGTCTACATGCTCATTAGTCACCATCAGCCTTCTTCCAATCGCAGTGGATTTTTCTTTTATTCAGGCTGCAGCTTATTGCTTATATAAAAAAAGGATATTGCATGGATTAGCTGGACGGGCAATCCTGAAATAGTGTTCAGAATTAGGAACGTTTATTTGATTGAAAGGGTGACGAGGTTCAAATGAGGCGCGGTGACTGACCATTGTAGATAATAAGACAATATGAATATATATATATATATATATATATATATATATATATATATATATATATATATTCTTCTGCGGGCAGAGTGAGTGGTTGTGTTGATTTTGTTTGGCGGCATATCAACACCTCTATGGGATTTTTTAATGCCGAAATCTAAATATCTTTTAAGCAGTTTTATACCTTTAACTAAAGATATTTTGTAGATGATTTTGTACTTACAAGGTAAATGTATGTTTTTTTAGATATATATTTTGTATATAATAAAAATGTATTGTTGGTAATTTTGTTATAAAATCGTATATTTACTAATTTCGCTATAAAACCGTATTTCTATAAATTTCGCTATAAAAACATTTCTACTAATTTCATTATAAAAATGTATTGGTAGTAATTTCACGATAGAAATGTATTGCTACTAATTTCACTATAAAAATATATTCTACTAATTTCACTATAAAAATATATTGCTACTAATTCCACTATAAAGATATATTGCTACTAATTTCGCTATAAAAACATATTTCTACTAATTTCACTATAAACATGTATTGCTAATAATTTCACTATAAACATGTATTGCTACTAATTTCACTATAAACATGTATCGCTACTAATTTCACTATAAACATGTATTGCGACTAATTTCACTATAAACATGTATTAGTAGTAATTTCACGATGAAAAATGTTTTGCTAGTATTTTTCACTATAAAAATCTGTTTTTATATTTTCCTAGTATTTTGATTTTTGTTTAGGGGTTCACTATTTACTCATTGCTGGGGACCTTAAAAAGGCGCTACTCGCCCGGGTGGTCAGGTTTGATGTACCACAGAATTTCCACGTCCTTGGTGAACACAGATGGAAACATTTAGTCACGTCAGCAACAGGGAAGTTTTTTTTTTCTTTAAGAAAGAAAATCAAAGGACAGTCAAAATCAGAAAGTGTTGATATTTCTGTGACACATGAGGGCTTGGAAAATTTAACACACAAGATATATTGAAGGAAGGATAAATCGTGAATTATGAGTTTGTGTAAATGAATATCAGAACAGGGAAGGACAGGAAAATTGCCCAGTGGATTAAAATATTGTTTCGGTATCTGTCTATATCCCTGAGATGAGGTATCATGTACATTATTTACATTATTCGGACTATTGTCTTCATTTTTGTCGCCATATTTATTACAACGCTTCGGCCGTTGTACGCCCCAGTCTTCTTCAGGTGGTTGGAATGTCGAACTGAATTTATTTCGCTCACTGGGGTAGATTGTTCTAGTTATACGTGTCATATTTAATAGATGTCATTTATCAGTTATCTCCTGTTAATTCCCCTCTCCAAGTTCTCCACTGCCATAACCGGGTATTGAACTCACATTGGATCTAACTAACACCTTTATCCACTGTGCCATGTGTCCTTGAGGACATCTGGGTATGAATTTCTGGGTATTATAAACCTAATGTCTTCAGCAACTATTTTTTTACCAGTGCTCATATTGCAATTTTTGTTGTTATCATTGCAAGTTTTTACCAGAGCTCATATTGCATTGTTATTATCGCTTTTCTCTGGCACTCCTTATTACTGGTTCGCATATTGCATTCATTTCTATGCTTGGTCGGCTCAGGAGATTTTTTCCAGTGGTGTTCTCTGTCTATGATCTCAACATGATCCCACACAGGGTGGTGATCTCCCTTTTCTCTCCATATGTGGTCAGCCACGCCATATTTTTCTACTTTCCTTTGTGTTACAGCTTTCTGGTGTTATTGAAGCCTTACCTTAAGAGGGCGGCCTGTCTCTCCTTTATATTTCTTTCCGCACCTGCACGGGATAGCGTACACACAGTCTTTAGTCATGTTCTCCTCTATCGGGGGTCTTACTCGGGAGAGATATCTGCGAAGTGTCGTCCAGCTTTTGAACTATAACATTTTTTTTATAACATCAGGACAACCTTCAACCGGAGCGTACAACGGCCGAAACGTTGTAATAAATATGGCGACAATAGTCGGAATAATGTAAATAATGTATTGTTTCGGTAATTTGATGATTTGGTAAATGTGAGCCCAATCCCTATGCCAGATAGTGTAGACTTAAACGCAGTTGAAGCAGAGCGAGCAATAATTGAGGAATACTAAATAAGAATAAAACAAGATATCCTTAGGCATATACAGTGGAATTAGATAAAGACAGTGGTTAGATCCAGTGACTAGACCCAAAGAGTTGTGAGTTCAATACCAGGCTATGGCAGCGGTGAACCAAAACTTGAAAAGTTGAGTTAAAGGGGAAATAAAAGGCATGACACGTGGAACTAGAGCAATCTATCCCAGTAGACGAAATAAAGAGTTCTGTTCTAAATTCCCATCACCTATTCCATCATTTATACGAATTAAACCTCCCAAAACAAATTACTCAAGAACAACATAAATACGTACAGAAAAGAACCCAAAAGTATAGAATATGACATTAAGTTGGAAGCTAGAACGACGACCAAATAAATCTAATCGCTAAAGAATAAGCATTAATTACACTAAAAGACCACAAAGAAAACTTTAAATTAATCCTAACACATAAACCCAGCTAAAGTTGAACTAAGTAAAACAAGAAAAATAATACGAGAAATAATTAATTCAGAACTAAATGACGAAGTTAGGAGAAGACCAGTAGAAAAAGAAAAACAACCATAGACTAGTTCCGTAACGTAAAAGTAAACGTAATTGTGAATATATATCACTCGATAGAAAGACTTCTACCATTCAATAATCGAATCCATGCTGGATAAAGCCATCTTCTTAGGCCAGGGACGAATAAAAATAAGCACATACGAATTATATATCATTAAGGCCGGAGCGTACAACGGCCGAAACGTTGTGAATATGACAATGAAGATGAGGATAACAGTCAGAATAATGTAAATAATGTAAGTAAATAGAACAATATACCCCCATATATTAAATAAAGGGTACAGAAAAGCTACTAAGACTGAGTGTGAAAGAATTAGAAAAGAGAAATATTACTCAGGAGCGGGAACAATAAAAGAGTAAGGAAGAAAACAGAAGATAACGGTTGAGATTGCAATTACAGTTTTGAAGATAAAAGTTGGCTGGATAGCATGGAGCCGGAAGGGAGTTCTACATGCAAGAAATGCGAGAAAAGGAACTGTTGGCATAGAACTTGCGGTTACATCTAGCTAGATCAACTGTAAATTGGTGAAACCTCGTCGCCAGTCTAGGTACCATAGTGAAAAGCTCATCCGAACGGGGGCGAGGGGAAAGGAAAATTGCCCAGTGGATTGAAATATTGTTTCACGAATTTGGCGACTTGGTAATTAGAAGTTCAATCCCTAGGACAGGTAGCGTAGACTTAAATTAAGTTGAAACAGAACGGACAATAACAGCAGTACTAAATAAGAACAAAAGATATCCCTAGACATGAACAGTGGAATTAGAACAATCTATCTCCATATATTAAATAAAGGGTCCAGTTTAAAAATTCATTGAAGGTTACTCGGATCGACAAGCACCTGATGAAGACCGCAGAAAACAACGGCTGAAACGTTGTGATAATAAAGTTGACGAGAGTGAGAGTAAATAATTTCGAAAGAGACAAAGAAGGAAGAGGGATGGTAAAGAATCAAACTTTGCTCAGAGCGAAAAGTGGCAAGAACATGTTGGACGGTATGATCGCCTACGTCACATAAATGACAGCGATCAATGACGTGTCAATTTCTAGTCCACCGAACGCTGAGGTTTTCCAAAGTCACAACAACTGAAGCCGTGCTACAAATGGCCCAATTGCTGTCATCCAAAGACCTACCTATTCGTAAATCTCGTCTGTGGACGGTAGTGGATACTGGCTCAGTGGCGTCTCGCGGTCTTTGACTGCGCGCGCGTTCTGTCGAACTCTCTGCTGAGAGGAGCCCGGACGAGGCTTTGCCGAAGGGCAAGGTTTCGTCCGGGGAGGTGGACAGGGCCTGAACCCGTCTAGGCGGGTTCAATGGCTATTTTTTTGGCCGAGCCTACGGGCTCGGAGAAACCCACATTAAAACCGGCCTTGTGCCATATTCGTTTCTCGTGGGTGAAATGATAAATACTCAGTGGATACTGGACAATTTGTGCTTGTTCAACACTTTACGGAGCCGACCTGTGAGCTGCAACTATGCTGAACACAACTTAGTTACAGTTCCTGGAAGAGAATCCGGTGTGATCAGTAGTTAAACAAGGCCGCTACGTTTACATTCCTCAATCACAGTGAAATTCGCAATCTGGTCCCTAGATCGGAGCGCTAACGTTCTCACCAGTCGGGGCCAACACTTCCCTCAGTATATGCAGTCATATAAGCATCTGTACACAATCGAGAGGCAAAATGATGTGAGTCCTTAGAAAATAGAACAGGTATGTCTATATT